CTTCCGAGACGCAGACGACGGAGACGGAGTCCGCGATCCACTGTCATCTGTCTTTTTGAGGGCAGTGTGGCGTGACAGCTTTGGGGACGCAGAAGATGTCACGTCAGCAGTCTGCTGCTGCACCAACTGTGAAAATGTTATTGGCTTCTTGCCTTGCTCTGACAGGTTTAAGGTCACTGGTTTTTGCTTCGTGTGAGGACCCCATTCATCACGGTCCCTCAGTTGCCACTCATTCCTGTACGTCATGCAAGGTGGCTCTTTTTCCATCGAGGTCCTGTCCTCGGCCCTGGTCTTCTTCTGCGTCTCTTCCACGTGCGCTGTGTCGCTCTCTTGCAGGGGTCTGTCTTTAGTTTGAGATTTTTTCTGCACATTCTCTACTTGTGGCTTCTCTCTGACTTCAGACACAGTCTTCTTCCGCACAGCTTCCTCAACTGTTATATCCCCAACAATTGCTACAGTGGGGTCTACCTGTCTGGACAGCAGTGCCTTCTCGAGGGACTCCGTTTCATGCTTGTTAGATGGTGATTCTATATCTACGCTTTGCATGGGGATGGGCTTGCTGCCACAAAATGAGGTTTCCAGCAACATCTTGTGGGGAGAAGGGGATCGCCCACTGGAAGCCATAGAGTGACCAGACAACACAGAGAGATGTGACATTCCAGAGATGTGAGAGGCTCCAGATCCACCCGAACCGACGGAGGAGAGGCGGCTAGTGCGGCCACTGATGGAGAGCAAACCTGCGTCACTGCAGGCTGAGTCCTTGCGCTCCTTTTCACTCTGCGCCTCTAGCTCATATTTTAACACCGCTGCCTGCTGATGCTGCTTCATAAGTCGACGTTCCCGTCTTTGCTGTGCCTCGCGCTCCGTCACAGTGCCTGGCTCTTCGTGGAAGTCCAACTCCTCCGTGCTGGAGCGCAGGTCTGCGGCACCCTCCTCCTTGAAACCGAGTCCCAGTTTGATGCCTGATCCTTCAATGGAACCTGTAGGAAGAGAGAGCACACATTCCAGAGCAGTCCCACAAGTTACATGGAGTTGGTTAGTTAGACACTACATATTAAGTTATGTAAGAAAGAAAGACTTGTTCCGCTATAACAAAACTTGAATGAGTAACAAATAAACACTACCACGAATCAGGTGTGTAAAATCACAAAAATAAAAATCTATTGAATTACGTGTCCTCCACTTTGAAGTATCGTTTTCACTCTTTCTGCATTGTACAAGAGATAAATAGGGAGAACTTTTGTGTTCTTCTAAACCACAATCTTTGAAAATCACGAGTAATCGTAGGCAGCTAGGTTTTCGTGGAGGGCGTAGCGTCAATGTTTAATAGGTTTGTAATTTTAATAGAAAATATGCCATTATAAAAATGCAAAATCCGAGCATTAAGTGAAACACAATCTGGGAATAATTCCTGTTCGCACTTACGTCTGGTAAGCAAATATTATAATCTGCTACTTCCTTGGAACACTAGTACCATATCTGACAGACAGACAAGAATAAAATGAAGAAAATGGGAGGTGTTCTCTTCCAAATTCTGTTTTTCTCCCTCCCACCTTGTTTCTACACATTTTAATTTTATAATACCAATAATCACAGTCTTTGCTCAAAATAACTGTTACCAAAGAGTAAAACTCAGTTGCCAGCCTCCTACACAGCAGCAGAGAAAACCACAATCGAAAGCTGCACGTGTACAT